ATAGAAGGCCTCGGGGCCCCCCGGCGCGCCCAGGGCCGCGTCGCCGCGGAGACCAGCCGTGGGCGCCGGGGGCCGCCGCCCCGGGTTGGGGGCCTTGGCCCAGAGGCCGGCGGCCGTCCCGAGCAGGTCCAGACACACGTCGGTGCCGTTGGCATGGAAGTCGCTGTCGGGGCCCGCGTCCGTGAAGGCGCCCGTGCGCAGCGTGATGTGCGCCTCGATCTCCTCGCGCGCCCGGTCCACGTTCTCGGGCATGCCCGTCACGGCGAACACGGGCTCCTTGTCCCGCCCCGGCGTCACGATGTAGGTGTGCGTCCGCTGCTGGATGCGCTTGATGGTGGCGCCCTTGGGCCCCACCACCAGCCCCACCACGCGGTAGGGCACGCGCACCTGGATGGTGGTCTGTCCCGGCAGGTGCGGCGGGCCCTGCGCGGCGCCCGGCAGCCCTCCCGCCTTGCTGCGCGTGGCGCGGATCACGGAGAAGTGCTCGGCGGCCGACAGGATCTCGCGTTTGGCCATCTCCACGTCCTCCTTGCGGCCAGTCACGATGAAGACGGGCTCCTCCCCGCGCACCGGCGTCTTGATGTAGGTGTTTGTCTTGGCCCGCAGAGCCTTGATCTTGCACCCTGGGGGTGGCGGTGGGGAGAGACAATGAGGATGGGGACCCCTCCCCAGGGCAGCCCTTGGAGGAGCAGCTGCAGGGGCCCCCCCGGCCGGCCCGGTGGGGGGTGGGGGGAGGGCTGGGAGCCCCCACCTCGCTGCCCTCTCCACCCTGGCCTTTATCCTCAGACACGCATCTCTGTTTCCCCTCTGGTCCCAGGTTGGAAGGTGGTGGCGGCTTTGGCTAGAAGGCAAGGAGGACCCCACTGCAGGTTGGATGGTGCCCCCCGAAATTCACGTCTACCCGGTACGTGTGAACAGGACTGTATTTGGAAAGGTCTTTGCAGGCGTCATTAGTTAACAGGAGGTCGCACGGGAATGGGGTTAGCCCTGAGCCCAGTGACAGGTGTCCTTAGGGACACAAGGACAGCGATTGGGACGAGGCAGCCACAGGCCCCGGGCGCAGGGGACCGGCGGCCACCACCAGAAGCTAGGTGAGCAAGTTCGGGAGACGATCCCCCTCCTCCTGGAGGGAGCGTGGCCGAGCCAACACCTTGCATTCGTATGTCCGCGCTCCGTGGGGGGATTCGTTTCTATTGTTTCAAGCCACCCAGTCTGTTCTGTCAGTCCCGGGACGCTAATGCAGACCCCTGACACAGAGTCCCCATCAACACCTGGGATTTTCTCCTGGCCAGCTGACCCCACCCCTCCCACGCCAGCCCACAGGGAGCCCAGGTCTCACTCAGTCTCTTGCACCCTCACTCACTCCACCCAAAGGTCCTGTGGTCCCAGCCTCTGAGGGGATGATGCTCACGGACACAGCACTGCGCTGTCGCAGGCCGGGCGGGGGGCCTGACACCGTGGGGGGCACCGGAGTATCGGCGTGCAGCGTGGGCTGGGAGGCCCCGGGCTGTGACGGGGTGCCTGTCCAGGCGTCTAACACCCCCACCTCCTCTCTGGGGGGGCCTTTTGAGACATCCTGAGTCTGGGTGACCCCCCCCCCCACCAGCTCTGGGCGGCAAGAGGGACACGGGGATACTGTTTCAATACAGAGGGCGCCCCGGTGAGGATAACACTGTTGCCGACTTCTCAGGTAGAAGCTTACAAAGCTGGGGGACCAGCGCACCTGCCCTGGAAGGAATCCAAGATGCACCAGACAGGGGGGACTGCTCGGCGCGAGGGAACCCTGGGAGGTGGCAGGGTTGTCCCAGGGGCAGCCCCACCCTGAGCCCAAGGACAGCAGGCCCGTCCAGAGCTTTGAGCAAAAGCACAGCCAAGTGAATGGGGTCAGAAACCTCCAGGGGAGGGTGGAAATTGGGGCGTGGCCCATCCCCTGGGTCCCGAGCCCCCACCCCCGTGTCCTCCCTCAGTGGCTCACCGCCTCACTGGCATCCCCCCAAAACCCACCCTGACCCAGACCCGTCTCCACTTCTGTCCAGATGGTCCCCTCCCCACGTGGCGGCTGGTGGGTAAGCTTCCAAACCACACGTGTCAGTCCGGACCCTCTCCGGGGGCTCTGCCCGCCCTGGCTTCCCTGCCCCCACACGGCCTTTACCCTCCTTAACAGTGTCCTCAGTGCCACCTGCCTGCACCCCCTTCTCTGCATCCAGTCACCGCCCAGCGCCCCTTCCTCCAGGAAGCCCATACTGATCGCACCAGGGTCCCAGCACACACTTCTCAGCCTACTTCCTGAGCTCCCCCTGCTGGTGGCCTGTGAGGATCAGCGCACGGGGGTCACAGGGGCTGCTCAAAGGATCGTCCCATGTCTGTTTCCTCACGGGTAAGAGAAGGGCACAAACTGACCCGGCCTCATGGGTCTGGGGCCACAAGGGCCACAGACTGGCAGGTGCCCCCAGGCAGGTGCCCAGCCGTCACCTGCATGTGCACGGCCAGCAGGCCCATGCAGAGGACAGGGAACAAGGCCGGGAGAAGGGGTGGGGGGTCACCGGAGCCAGGGCGGGAGAGGAAACCGGCGTAGGGGGGGCGCCCCCTGCGCAGGGAAGCAGCCTGGTTCCCCTCACACAGAACTGGCACCCATCCTGCCCCCCCCCCCTCAAAAGGTGGCCCTGGACGGAACCTCCAGCGGCCAAGAGGAGACGCATTTCCACGGTGACACCATTTGAGCCAAGCCCTACCCTCGCCGAGACCCCAAGAAATGACAGAGTTTGAGGGGGCGGTGGGGCCGCCAGGTCTGGGAAACCGAGGCCCCGAGCGTGAACCAGCCACCTTCCCGCCCTGGTGGGTACAAGCCAGTGAAGCCAGAGTGGGTGATGGCAGGGACCAAGCCTCCCGCTTGGGGGGAACCCTGGGGGACACCACTTAGGGCTGGTCCCGGGCTGAAATGCAGATTCCCGGGCCCTGCCACCAGGAAGCCACCTCGGGCAGGTGCGCCCGGGGAAAGGGGGTGACCGCCCTGAGGCTGTCTCTGCCCCGCCCCAGCACCTCCCACCTCACTGCAGTTGGGCCCCCGCCCTCGTATGGGGTTGCCGAGGGTCCCCGTGCGGAGCCAGGTCCCAACCCTCATGTGACCTCATTCTGGGGTCCTGGCCACCCGTGTGCTGCCCCAGGGACCCCGCACAGAGACCACAGACAGGCTGGCCCCTGCAAGGAGGACCCAAACCAGGGGAGGACTCCCAGGGTGCCCGGCAGAGGGAACCATGGGGGCAGAGTTCGGAAGCAGGACAGCGCTGGGACACATCCTCACAATGACCAGTGCAGTGCTGTCCCCAAGGCAGGGCCCAAATGGGCTGCAGTCCTGTGGGGGGAGGCCGCGTCACCGTGGGGCGGTCTGTTTGGTGGGCGGGGGGAGCTGGCCCGTGCGGGCGACCCGGGCACGGCAGGCCAGGTCTACGCTCACCAACACCAGGAACCCCCAACCCAGAGCCAGGGGACCCCCTTCTTTCTGTGCCCCACAGCGGACACACAGAAACAGGGGGGCCTGGGCCCCAGCACAGCCCCACAGCGCCCCCAACTGCCAGTAAGAGCCCCGAGGCCCGCAGCGCTGGGGCCGGGCTCCGGGGGGGTCGGCGCGGGAGAGCAGTGGGCAAAGCAGGCTTCTCCCCACTGAGAGAGGCCAGCCCGAGAGCGCGGACCCCAGCCTGACGGCAGCAGAGACAGAGGGACCCGGTGTGGCTGAGCACCAGCTCGTCTCTGGTATCATTCACTCCTTCCTGACCCAAACCTCCAGGCGGCTGCTCACGACTTCGACCCAGCCCAGCCCAGCCCCACAGGGACACGCCCAGCAAGGGTGCAAGCTAGCCGGAGGCTCTGAGGACGGGGCCCAAGGTCATACCTGGGGCAAGTGGGCACCAGCCTCCCTGACAGGCTGGAGGGAGACCACCCTGACTCTTTGTGGAGTCTCGCTTTCCCTGCCTGTAAAATGGGGTCGCGTCCCCCCAACCCTGGAGCCGTGGGAGGTAAAGTCCTCTCCTGGGCCCCACCTCTGTTCCCTGCGGCGCAGACCGAGCCCAAGGGACTAAGGTCCAAATCCCAGCCCTGCCGACCCGGCCTTGGCCCGTGTCTCTGTCCCCCGTGACCCGCAGCTACGGGGAACTTCTCTGGGGGATCTCTTGAGGCTCAGCGGGGCGGGGCAGGCCGAGGCCCCCAGGCAGGCACCTTGTAGGCGCTGCAACCGGAGGGAGGAGAGCGAACTCTCGGCGTCTGTGGTCGCTTACCCTGTCCCCGGAGGGTGCGGGAACCCACTCTAAGATTGGAAAGACAGCTCAGGTGAGGGCCAGGGGAAGGGTCGACCCCAGGTCTGTGCGATGCTGGCCTGGCCACTAGGGGATGGAGTGGTCCTGGGCCCGGGTCTTGAGGAGTTCAGGGCCTGCGCTGGGGAGAGCCTGAACAGTAGGAAGGGGCAGGCTTCGTGTCCGGGAACCCACAAGGTGGGGGGCAGATGGGGGAGCGGGGGGGGGGGCAGGACTGGGGCACAGTCTTCCAGGCTGTGCTTGGCAGCTGGGCCGGAGAAGACGGCAGCCACAACTGGTCCTAGGGCTGAGAGATTCAAGGTGCCAGCCAGTCCCGAGGTCACGCTTCCCCACCGGATACCCCGCGTCCCGCTTACAGGACGTACCACACGCCAGCCGGGGGCTACGCTTACAGCCGTCCTGCTTGAGGGGTGCCAGGCGGGCTCTGTCGGTTTAGCGGTTTAGCGTCCGACTCTTGACTTCCGCTAGGGTTACGATCTCACGGCTCGTGAGTGTGAGGCCGGCACGGAGCTCTGTGCTGACAGGGCAGAGCCTGCTTGGGCTTCTCTCTCCCTCTTGACCCCTCCCCTGCTCAGGTTGGCCCGCGCGCCCTCTTTCTCTCTCCCTCTCTCAAGATAAACACATAAACTTAAGCACCAAGAGCGCTCTCTAGCTTGGGGACCCTCACCAATCCCCCGAGGGAGGTGCTGTCCCCCGACCCCAGAGAAGAGATCCCACCCGCCTCGGGTCACGGGGCCGGCCCAGTCTGCACCCCGACAGCCTGCCTTCCTGTCTGCCACCAGCAAGACCCCAAACGGACACCCAATAAACGGGTGCCAAAACACCACCCAGGAGTTCGGGCGGCAGCTTGGTCCCCTACAACCACAGGCATAGGTCGGGGCGCTCTCTGCTTGACTCCCAAGAACACTGGTGTGGGCTCGGCCTGTCTGAAAGGACCCCCCGGGTGCCAGGACACGCGCGTTCACGGGGAACATGCCCTCGTGCTCTGGGGCGGTGTCCCCCCAACCAGCCAGCAGATCAGCCTAGTGATTTTGGGCAACAGCCCCCGGGGCTGGGTTTCCACGTCTGCCCCAGCCCCCAGCCCCCAGCCCCCAGCCCCCAGCCCCCAGCCCCCAGCCCCGGGGAAAGCTGGTTATACCTCCCAGGACAGGTGTGGGGGACCGGGGCCGGGAAGGAACTGCAACAGGGTGGCGGCGGGAGGCGTCAGGCTGGAGTCCTGCTGTGCTGGCTCCGAGACCCGCCTGTCCCCTCCCCTCCCCCCAACTCCTGGGCCCTCACCCAGGCACGACAGACATCTGCACGCAAAGCAGGAGGACTAACTGGGCAAACCACCCCTCCCACCAGGAACTCCCAGAGGGCAGCGTGTCGGGGGTGCCCCTGTGGTCCCTCTGCCCCTGGTGGCAAGGTGACAAGTCACCGTGAGATTCAAGCCCCCCCCCCTCCTCTGGCTCCTGTTACTGAGTCGGCGCTCCAAGGCCAGCCTGTCCTGCAGCACCATCTCAAACCCCGCCCAGACCCCACCCCACGTTCTAGAACCTGGCCTCCAAGCCGGGAGCGGGGCACAGAGAGGTGCAGGCAGGAGAGAGCTGGGGCTGGGGGCTGCCGGCTGAAAGGGTGGGTGGGCGTGTGTCCGGAGGAGCACTGCCCACCATCCTCCCGCCCGCCTGCAGCTCCAGGGCCAATGAGCGGCCGCCGGCCTGATGTCACCCTGCAAATCTCAGACTGGCTCTCTAACAAAGAGAACAATGGGGCGGCCACAGGGACTCTCTGACAATGCTGTTACCAGGACCCCCACACCCCGGGGTCTGCTGCCACGGCCTGCCAGGGGAGGGCTACGAGGCTGGACCCCAGGAGAGCTTTTACAGCTGGTCCTTAAGCATGTCCCCAAATCCCCGACTTGGGGCTGACAGTGGGGTGGGGATCCTCATCCTGTCCTCCGGCCCCACACCCCCAGCAGGGCCCCCAGGCTGGCAAGTGGAGATGTATACCCTCTTTGTACGCCCAACTTCTGTCTCGACCCTGCCTGAGCACCCCCCCCC